TACACAGAACTCCCTCCCTCTCTCTACCCCCAGCTCTCTGTTAGGACTCCAGATTTCTACTTGGATTTTCAGGCACAGGGGCACATTGTCTGTAAGAAGGTGTAGCGGGGTGCTGGTGGAGAATGAAGAGCCAGGCATTTTAAAGAAACTCAACTGGATGAACGAGAATAAACAAGTTCATGATAAAAACAGATATGCACTGTGACAGGGAGCGTGACTTAGAGGTTAAAATCACCACTTTTTAGAACTCTGGTGTTCTTTCACCCTAATTTGAATGCCTCTCTCTCTCTCTCTCTCTCTCTCTCCTGGAGATTTCCACATATCGCAATGTAGTCTTAATTCAAGGTTATGTGTTCACAGACACAAACCTACTTGGATACCTGGAGTGACCCATACCACGGTGCATCTCAGAACCTCCTCCAGTCTCTAGCTGTGATGTCAAGAAGCTTAACTGTCACTTGAGTGGCACTGGAGCCACCTAAGTGAAGCATACTTCTGGCTGTGTTTGAATGGATCATGGACACGGGACCTTGGGGTTTACATCTGGTCCCTGGCCCCTTCCTCTTTGGTGCAGCTCTCCTGCTCTGCTTTCTTGGCTCCACAAAAGTGAACTGCTTTCCCCCACCCCATCTTTCTACCATGATGTTCTTGCCTCCGAGCCAGCTGACCATGGACTGAAGTCTCTGAAATCTTGAGGCAAATTAAACCTCTCCTCCCTTAAACTGAGCATGTCGGGGATTTTGCCTGGCAATAAGAAAGTTGAGGAACATACTGCCTGAGGGAAGGGTGGGTTTTCTGCTCCTAACCTCCATGAGCAGTAAGGAATGAAACACCATCCACATATGGTCTCAGTGAAATTCTCTCTCTCTCTCTCTCTCTCTTTCTCTCTCTCTCTCTCTCCTGGAGATTTCCACATATCGCAATGTAGTCTTAATTCAAGGTTATGTGTTCACAGACACAAACCTACTTGGATACCTGGAGTGACCCATACCACGGTGCATCTCAGAACCTCCTCCAGTCTCTAGCTGTGATGTCAAGAAGCTTAACTGTCACCTGAGTGGCATTGGAGCCACCTAAGTGAAGCATACTTCTGGCTGTGTTTGAATGGATCATGGACACGGGACCTTGGGGTTTACATCTGGTCCCTGGCCCCTTCCTCTTTGGTGCAGCTCTCCTGCTCTGCTTTCTTGGCTCCACAAAAGTGAACTGCTTTCCCCCACCCCATCTTTCTACCATGATGTTCTTGCCTCCGAGCCAGCTGACCATGGACTGAAGTCTCTGAAATCTTGAGGCAAATTAAACCTCTCCTCCCTTAAGCTGAGCATGCCGGGGATTTTGCCTGGCAATAAGAAAGTTGAGGAACATACTGCCTGAGGGAAGGGTGGGGTTTCTGCTCCTAACCTCCATGAGCAGTAAGGAATGAAACACCATCCACATATGGTCTCAGTGAAACTCAGCCCTTGTCCTTCCGTGGGAAGCAGCCATCTCCTGAGCACTTAATAAATGAGGTCTCACCATTGTAAATATGAATCTTTTGCAGCTCAGAAACCTCTCTCAAAGGCCTTCAGAGTAAAAACTACAAAAGGTCGGTTTGTGTATGTGTGAGACTAGGCCAGCTGTGTGTGTGTGGACCAGTAACAAATGGAGTTGCCATTCTGTCCTCCTGTGGAGTCTTGCAGATTGGAGTCTGGGTCTTTGTATGGTTTTATAGAACCACCCAAGACAACCTTCTTCCACTAGATTTAAACTTGCAAAAGTCATAACTCAACCGGGGCTTTTCTTTTTCTTTCCATCCTGCTTTGTTTACTCTTTTACTTCCTGTCTTCACCCCTCTTATTTTTTAAAAACTGTATGCTTCTTGTGTATTCTAGGAAGCTATTGCATACATTTTTATGGTCACCATCTGTTTTCAAGGAACTATTTCTCTTTCCTTTGTTTCAGTTGTAGAAAGGGATAAGGCACGGTAATAAACACTGAGAACAATTCTCATATAACTTAGGATAAATTAATTATTCAGTATTCTCCTTGTAAGGTGTTATACATTGGCATCAGCTATTTCTCTTCTGTTCAGTGAACTCAAATAATTACACCAATTCTCTGAGTAGCTATTATCTAAAACAAAGGGAACAGAAAAAAATGTCATGTTTACTCATAGTAAAAGTTTGCTACTGCTACTGTAACAAATTACTACCAATTTAAGAGCTTCAAATGAGGCATATTTGTGACCATGCAGTCTGCAGGTCAGGATTTTGGGACAAGTGCATTAGCACATACACGTCAGAGGCATTAGAGGGGCTGCATTTCTTCCCCGCGTCTTGAGGGGAGAAACATTTCCTTGCTAACCTGAGTGTCAGAGGAGGCCTGTTCCATGTAGTTATAGATGGAGGCCCTTCTCCCTGCTGGCTATTGGCAGGGAGCTACACTGAACACATCTCCTTGAACAGGGGTCTCACCTCTCAGAATAAGAGATGGCATATCAAATCCAGCGAAGGACTCCACTGTTCAGGATTCACACACTAGACTCAACCATCTCAAGATCTTTACCTTCATCACATCTACTAAATCCCGTTTGCAACAGATGGGTCCACCTTCACAGGTTCTGGGATGCAGGGTATGGATGTCATGAGGGGTCGTGATTGTGCTTTCCACATTCTTACTCCCAACGGGGATGGAAAAGAGGACCTTGTATCCAGCCTGAGGCACGGCCAGAGCAGAATACCAGAGGCACGCACTGTGCTCCCACTTGGGCCACTCACCAACTATGTTGTTTTGCCCAGGTCTTGGAATCCACAGGACCCAGGCTCTTTGTTCTTGCTTTTGCTTTAAGTCAGACTGCTTTAAGTTAGACCACTGAAATAGTTGCCACCCTAGTTTGTTTATTTATATGCATTTGTTTTACACTTTTTCATAGCATATCTACATGGTGGCTGGCAGTGCGCCCAGGTGTTGAGGATGTGTTTATAGGGAAAATGGAGTAATCACTGCCTATCTTGGTGTTCACCTTGTACTGAAGGAACTAAATGAACAAAGCAGTATAATATGCAAACTGCAAAACAGCAGTACATAAATTAGGATGGGACACAGATAATGATGTAAGAGCTCTGGCATTAGAGACGGAGGAGCCAGGGACTCAGTGAGAAGAGGACAGTCATATGACTCAGCTAGCTCACTCCTGAGTACACATCCAAAGGAAGTGGAACCAGCATATCATAGAGAAGTCGACACTCCCACATTACAGTAGTGTTTACAACAGCCAAGAGGTGGGATCGACTAAGTTGCCCATCAACGGGTGAACATGTGCTACATATACATACACACCGTGGAAAACTATTCATCCTTAAAAAAGATGAAATCTTATTATCTGTGGCAACGTAAATGGAAACGGAAGACATCACCGTTTGTGAAATAAACCAGGGTGCAGAAAGACCACAACCACAAGGTCATCCTTGTTGTGGAAGATAAACCCACTGAACCCATAGGAGCAGAGTGTAGAACAGTGGTTACCAGAGGTTGGGAAGGGTGTGAGGTGGACAGAAGGAGGACAGTGACTGGGAACTAAAATATAATTAGAAAAGAAGGCTAAGTTTGAATGTTCGATAGCATAGCAGGGTGACTACAGGGAACAATATTTTGTATTTCAAAATAGCTAAAAGAAGGGATTTAGATATTCCAAACACACACAGAAACGGATGAACGTTGAAAGCGTTGGACAATTGCCCGGATTGCATCATGGCTCGCTGGACACATGCATCAAATATCACCCCATGTATGCTCGCTCTGTGCCAATTCAGATAACAGGATGAAAGATGGAAAAAGGGGGCGGCTGGAGAAGCAGTGTCCTCTTGCATTGAGGGCAATCGCACACACCTCACCTCAGACAAACCGGAAGAGGTACCAGCCCAACTCAAGTCTGTGTTGGACACTGGCACCCGAGGATAGTCTGGGCATGGCTTGATCACATCTTCCTTTCACACTAGGTCTACCTAGTATTATGATAAGTCTTACAATCGCATGACAGAAAAACATATTTTTGGAGGTAGAAATACGATTAACACATAAGTGAGCATCTGGTAGGATAGGTGCACGGAATATAAATATTCTGACCCATTAAGCTACAGAGTGATTTTACTTGTCAATTCAACATTTCATTAAGGATTTCCAATGATGGCACCTAGAAGATATTAAAACATCAATGCGTTTGTCATTTTTTAAATTTAGGTGGGCCCTTCATCATTTACTGTCCTTCAACTCATTATCTTGGGCCGTCTGGAAACGTACTTTCCATGTTTTCTCCATGACTCTCCAGGTTTTCTAAGGAAAGCAGCCTTTCCGATTTACAAATATTCAGTGCGTTACTGTAGCAAGCACACCGCTGCTTGGAAATCAGTCAGCTGAAGTACCTCCCAGAGATAAGGAATTTTCAAGCCAAATGACTTTCAAATGTGTTTGGATAGGAGAGGCCTCAAAACAAAATGGAAGAAATGAAACGGAACACTCGATTGAAAAGCTAAGAGACCTGGATCCCGGAATTGGTCCCTCCTGGAGTGCAGGATAACTTTGGCTATGTGTGTACCTATAAAGTCTTACTACCGCTTTCTTCTTTGTTGCAGGATAAAAAGGGACCATGAGAACACCTGTGCTCCCCGATTTACTGAAGGGCCAGTGAAGGACGGCATGAGAAAGTACGTAACAAAGTCTTACCCAGACTGCGAAATATTAGCTACCGAAATTTAAGGGAGCATTTGTGCTCCAGAACTGCACCCCCAAGTTGCTTCACACAACCTACGTGAGGCTGGAACATCAGGAGAAAGACAGGGAAAGAGTAGAGGATCCCGGGCTTGGGGAGGTAAGTGGTGGAGCCATCTGTCAAACTCGTAATTCCCTGAGCTATTACTAGCCATTGGGCCTGATACGAGAATTCAGAGAGGCTTATTCTTTGTATGAAGTACACAAACACAGGCACTTTGATTTTTCTCTAATGGGAAATGTGGCTTTGTTACCTTAATGAGGTCTTCCCTGGAGGGAAAATCTGAGACCAGGTAATTTTCTCTGGTCTTGGTGTTAGTGATGGATACGTGCAGTCTGTTCTGGGCCAGTTCGTGGGCGTTGGGAGGAAGAATCAACTCCATTCCATTCCTAAAGGCGGAAAAAGAGAGCCGCGTTATTCACCTTTAATTATTGAAGGCCTCGTAAATATTTTAGAAGACTGAGTGCTGAGCTTGCCACATTTCGTAGGGAGAGGTGTCAACACTCTGTCTTTATATACTTTGGGGGTATATAAGCAGATACATAAACAGATACCTCAGTCGGGCCATGAAATCATAACCGGGCGTCATCGCCCCAAGAGACTGGCTTCTGGTTTCTTCAGCGAGCTTGTAGGTAAATTGGTCACATTCCTGAAGAAAGAAAATTCATCACTGACCCTTTGTGCTGGCAAAAGAAACGCATTCCAATTCTAAACCCTGTCTCCATTCCATGGCGCGGGCTGAGCTTGCCTGGGTTTGGTCATTACCCATATTATATCCTCTCACACTTCCAGTCTTCTTTAGTCTTTCTTTCCTCTTAAACCAACTCTAATGGCCTTAGCCCACTCACAAAAAGTCCTTGAAGGCTCCATTTAAATTCTAACTTCTTCTGCAAATTGCACACACACACACACACACACACACGCACAGTGAAGTTCCTCTTCCACACACCCTGTGGCCTCAGAAGTATTTGGACTGCAGTGTGCTGAGAGTGTTGATGGTGAGTGATACTGGTACCAAGAGCAGTAAGAGAAAAGAACAGGGATGACTTGGGGTTGCCATGGCATCAGATAGGATCAGAGAGGCTCTAGAAACCTGTCATGAGCCCTGTCGTGCACCCATGGCTGAGATGAACCAAAGTCCTCTGTCAGCTAACCCTGCAAGGAGGGAATAATCCTCCTCCCGACTTGACGGTAAAGAAAACTGAGGCTTGGCATGATCAAGTGTGTTTCTGTAGCACACGAGACATTACTGCCAGAGCCAGAGTTTGAACCCAGGTCTGTCTTTCGTGGAACTGAAGTTGTCCGAAGAAGGCACATGGATACAAAAGATCTTATAGTGTGCTTGACTTTGGCTCACTGGAACAGCACGACTGTGGGTAAGGTGGGATGAGAATCAGAATGAACTTGGGCTACCTTCTGCCCTGTAATAGTTTTGTGGCTTAAGTTTTGTATCTGACCTAACGTTCTTCTAACTCTAAGCAAGCCCCTCAGAATCTATCCATAAGCTTCTGCCAGCCCTACAGCTAAGAAAGCTGTGAGCAACAACTGAAACCCTGATACAAGGTGTCCCTGCTTTGCTGCGGGCCTCCTACCTAATGCCCTGCCAATGTATTTGATAAAGGTATCGACCCATGACTGTCTCTGTTCTGGGTTATAAAGGTTCATATGACCTCCTCCATGGGGTAACAGTGGTACTCAGGGTCATTGGAATCCATGTAACTGGGCCAAGGTCACTTAAGTTTGGCTCAGAAGAAGCTATCTCCTTGTTTCCCTAAGGCCAATTTGTTATTATTTGATTGATTCAGCAAACGACTTGGCACCAGGCACTGGGCTGGTCATTGAGATCTGATAAGACTTTTTCCCCACTGCTGGGGAAACACTTACAGGACATTATACATGCTAGGCAAGCACCCTACTACTGATCTGGACTCCGAGATTCAGTTAAAACAAAACTAAACAAACAAACAAAAAAACCCACACAAAATATAGAGGCCCTCATTCATGAGATTCAGGACTGCCTCCAAGAACAGATTGTAGAGCACCGTGACACCCTTTCTGAAGGACAAAGTCAAGGTCACTTATCTCTCCTTAGAGCTTCCATGTCCTTTCTTTAAACCTATGGATCTGTTGCTCTCCGAGGGATTTCACAGATTCAGTTGACAACTTTCAGAAGGAGAATGTATTGGTCAGCTTTCCCATTACTGCAACGCACAGCTTAAAGAAGGGATGAAATGTGGCTCGCCCTTCTGAGGAGTTCCATCCATGGTCTGCTGGCTCCAAAGCAGGAACCTCAGGACAGAAGGGCATGGCGGAGCAAAGATGCTCAGTTCAGAGCAGCAGGAAGCAGAGCAGGAGAAGAGAGCCAGAGAAGAGTAGAGGAGGCATGATATATAGCACCCAAGACCTCCCGTCATATACACCAATGACACACTTTACTAATCTAGGTGTTTCTCAATCCAATGAAGTTGACCTATTAGGATTAAGATGAATGATCCTGTTCTGTTATGTAGGACCATTAGTGGTCCCGTTATCACAAAGGCCCATTATGGTACAGGAGTTTCGATGCTGCACGCTGCTAAAGGTCCACGTGCTACAGGCTTGGTTTACAAGGTGGTGCTACTGGGAGGCACTGTGGACTTTCAGGAAGCTGTACTTGTGAGAGGTCCCTATTCACGGAGGGTGTGCTTTGAAAGGGCACTGTGGGACCCCGGCCTTTCCTTTTCTATTCTTTCTTTTTGCTTTCTGGCCAGGAGCTGAAGAGTGTTCCTTACCATGTGCCCCTGCCACCGCCATCCAGCATTCCCACTGGAGGCTCAATAGTTTTACCTGACCTTGGCCTGGAAATTCCAAAATCATAAGAAAAAATAAACATTTTCTCTTATGATTTAACTACCTCCAGTATCTTGGATTTGTAATATGAAGCTGATGAACACATATGGGAAAGAGGGTCAGAGTTAAAGAGGTTTGAAGAGGCCACCCTTCTAGCTTTAAAGGCAGAAAAAGGGGCTAGCAGCCCAGGAATGTGAGCAAACATTATGAACCACAGAAGGAAAAGACGGAGCCTTGGGAAGGGGCAAGGGTGGCCCTCCTGACCCTTTGATTTGAGCTCAGAAAGTATCAGACTTACAACCTCAGAATTATAAGAGAATACATTCTGTTATTTGAGGGCATCCCATTGAAGACCATTTGCTACAGCAGCAACAGGGAATGAATAAAATCGGCCTCAGACTCCGAAGTAAGGGTTGCCAAAGTCTCTCTCCAGTTTGACATCTAGGCTGGGGCCTTAAGGGCAAACTGGAGTTGGACAGGGGATGGAGATATAGACACAGGAGGACAATGATACACGTTACAGCAGAAGCAGCTCTGAGAGAGAGGGGAACAGAGCTAATGTGGGTCATCAGCAAGCCACGAGAAGGATGAAGTCACGTGGGACCTTGTGGAGCTGGCTGAAAAATCCACAGGGACTTTGGGGGGAATGAGATCATCAGATGTGCATCTGGGGAAAATCACTAGGTAACGTGAAGCAGATAAATTGTAGGTCCACCTGTCCGGAAGAAAAATGGGGCAGCCCCTCTCAGATGTGTCCGTGTCACTTCCTCTAAGCTGGGCTGCCCACTTACCCTACTTTCTGGTATTAATTTTAGTCCCATACACGTATACTGGCCAGACTGTAAACTTACTGAGGAATAGAATTCTTCCCCGCAAGCTCTGTGCTCATTTTAACACCAGGCTTTCCTTGCAGACTGTGAAGGCTGGGGGAAGCTTCCCAAGGAGCTTTTTACATATCAATGCCTAAATTTGCTTACCACCTAAAATACACCCCGCATCAGGTGCTCCTCCTAATTATGCATGCACGAGCTCTGAGTAAGATTAATTACTCATATATTTGTCACAACAGTAAAGAGTTCGAGGAACTGACACCATCAGTGAGAACTGAGCTAACGTGCATTTGGTAGGCTGAAAAAAATTTACCCCCCCTCAAAAAAGTCCCGCAAATGGGATTATTCCAAATACTAAAGACAAGAAACAAAATGATTACGAACAGCAAAGTTACACAGAATGAATAGGCAGTCAGAGAAGGTTAGGGCCCTTGAGAAAATCAGTAGAGAAGATGTGACACACAAAGATGGTGGCAGGAGGCCCACCTCAAGAGAGCCAGGCCTGCAAGCCTCCCTGGAGAGAAACAGAAACTTAACATTACACGGAGTTAGAACCACTTGGCCCACAGAGCACAGATAGCAATCAGATGCACACGTGGGGACACAGAACATGTGGAGCCCTTCTTTTCCAAGAATGTCTTTGTTCTTTCCATATAATCTTGCCGTAGGACTCGTTTCCCAATTAGATCTATATTAGCCACGCGGCTATACTTGGAATCCTATAGATTGCTTATGGTTTGACCCATGTTGTAGCCACACTGTGATTCTGTTGTATAAATCACCCCTGACAAAGGCACTTGGTGGCAACCTGCCTGGGACCCCTCCTGGAAATCCAGGAGCTGTTCTTCTTCTCCTCGGTTCCAATAAAACTCTCCTAACTTCCTCCTGTGGTTTGTGACTTCATTCTTCCATTTCTCGAGACTGAGAGCTCAGAACATCTGACTTATACCAGGTTGGGAGTTATTTTCCTTATAACAAAATAATCGTACACCATTAAGGTGATTCACGTTGAAAAAAATATTTTGAAAACAGGAGAAATGAAGATACCCTTGGTCGATGAAGAGAATCATTTTCTACCTTCCAATGTGAGGAGCCAATAGGTTTACTCTTTACCTCCTTCCACCAAAATTAGACAATAGGACTGAGAGCCAATTTAAGAAAAAAAAAAAAAAGAAAAGAAAAAAGACTTGAAAGTCCTGACTTGTAAGTCACACAGTAGCTTAACGTCACCAGATAACTATTATTGTACTATTTCCAAATCACACTATATGTAAATTACACTGTACTTTTCAGATTTGCCGAGGATTGGAAACCACGACTGCTCAACTCCAGAGCTCAGGATCTGCCCTAACTAAAGGAAAGACTGCATTAAAAAGGAAGAAATAATCTCCCACTTCTACCCCCATAAAACAAAAGGAAGTTGTGGGAAGGAGCGAGGTTGCAATTCATGGGAAAGTATTCTGCTAGCTTGCAACTCGTTTTCACAGTTTATTTATATTTTTCCCGATTTAAGGTTCATACCCTATATAATTGCTAGTTTTTAATCACCTCTTTTTAGTTCCCTGTGGATCAATCATCTAAAGAGAAAAAAGGAATAGTGGGTTTCTGAAAAATTGGCCTTCCATCCTACTTCCTTTCCATAAACAGTGCACAGATTCATGAACGAGATTTCGATGTTTTAAGATTTTGCAGTGTTGAAATTCTTTCTTGAGCACGAATGTGTAAAACCCCTATTTTATTACTGTTCAAAGCCACCAGACTGTGTAAGTAATTAACAAATATTTTCTCCACCCATAGAAACCCGCTCTCACAGCCAGCGAATGTTTGATCACTCTCCAAACAGCAGAAAATACATTTTAAAAACATAGATCACACTGAAAAAAAGAAAAAAAAATACCTGCTGAAGGGTATTTTTATCACTTGTGATTAAATTGCCCGGAATTCAGAGCTGCTTCTCTCTGTGAGAATTTAAAACAAGCTAAATTCCGTATCATTCCACTTAAGTGGCACTGTGTGCCTAGTTTCCTTTGTATGCCAGCTTGCAAATTAGGAGTGACCAAAAAGCTCAAGGCCTTGAAAACAGGGTCTCAGTTTTCAAGATCACAGAAGGAGGAAATATCCTTCATTTAAAAGAAATGGAGTTGGAATCCTAAGGCTAAATAAAACTCGAGTAAAATAAAGCATTTTATTTGCTTGACTTACTGTCATCCCAAATAATCTTGTCCAAACCCTCAGAGCCCAGATCTCCAAAGAGTTAATTTTGAAAGCAAAGTGTTAACTTGTAGATTCCCAGACAAAGCCCCATTTCCCAGCAGTTAGTAAAGTCGACACTCATTTTTGCCATTCCTCCTTCACTTCCGGACGAAGAACACAGCCTAGTTACTCCTGAATTACCTGCAGTTTTTCTGGCGCTGTTAGCAGGACAGAAGCAACCAGGGACCCCGCAGAAGCGCCAGCAAAAGCTTTGACATCTTTCAGGAGCTTCTGGCCGTGCCTACAAAATGCAGCTGCTGCCCCCAAGTGGTAAATGCCCAGAAACCCACAGGCTGCAAAGGACAAGTTGATTTTCCTCATTCTCTCTGCGGAACTGGCAAAGCTACAAAAAAAAAAAAAAAAAAACAACAACAACAACAAAAATGCCGTCAATCGCTTATTCCACATACTGCGCCATCTTATCCGGATCGCCATTCCAGTGCTTCTTTGAATATGTGACGCTCTACCTCAAGCACAGCCGTTTCGACTGATTCTAATTAAACCCAAGAATGTTGCAAAGACACATTTTCTTTTCTTCCTCACCCTGACCCCTAATATGGCCTTATTCATTAAAACGTAATATAACAACATTCTATATCTGTTAATTATATAGACGATGCGGTCTAACATTTAATTACTTGGCGAGAAACATGTATAAATTCGAGTTGGTATTTTTTCTTGACCTTTTGGAACTTTCTGCAGAAAGTGGTGACTACTGTGGTAGAGGAAAAATTATTAAAAACCACAACAAATTCCTAATGTAAATTTGCAATGCAGGTCCCTGCTCCCCTCCCTCATTTCTATTGTATTTTTATCTTTTAGAAACACTGATACCCACAATTAATCAATAATACAATAAGCTATCACTATTCGACAAGCAGTGTGTTTCATTGCCAAGTAGCTCAAGATAAACCACAGTCACGACGGGTGAAAACAATTTCAGGCTGGAAGAAACGCCCTTTCCAGCATTCATTCTACAGTTGTAATGTAAGACTTGAATAGGCTAAAGTGACTCCATGCTAATAGACCAGACTGTGCTTCTTCATATGCTAATTGCTACCTTGATTAACAGCCCGCCCAGGGGCAAATGGTTTGACAAAAGGTGACCCTAGAACATTTCCTGCATAAGATAAGCAATGTGTTTGCAGTCTTGTTCTGTGAATTCCCTGACTCTTTGTTTAGAAAAACCTTATAAAAAGTACCTCAGCCCCTGAGCAGTTGCCTCTCTGAGCCACCTGGCTCCGGGAGTGCCGTCTGGCCAGACTAATAAAGGTCTTTTACCATCTAGGCTGGTGTGTTCCTTCCTGGGTTTCTCGGTTCTCTGTCGTGTTCCCGGAGCCTCGCTGGGTGTTAGGGCCCAGCATCGTGGAGGCCTTTCGGCTGTTCATGCTCCGTGGAGTGGAAGTGAGACTTTAGGTCTTACAGTAACACATCGAAGTATCAAAGCACTGCATTAGATTTCTATCATCTGAACGGTGCTAAATGCTTCTTGGGGCTCAAGGGCCCTCCTTCAGGGACACTGAGTTGAGGTGAATGCAGGCAGTACAGGAGGATTTAGGGACTGCTCGTGGCTACGGTCCCTTGCCTGCCCAAACGCGGTCAGCAGGGCAGGCTAAGCGGGTAAGGTTTATATTCCTTTTGTGCAGGAGTGGAGGGAGAGCGATATGTAGGGTTATTTTCCAGGTTGTCAGGCGGCGATCACTAGCCCTGAACAGCGGCTTGGGATAGGCCGGATTAGGGCTGCAGCCACCTAGCTCCCCCACCACCGGACAGCCCACCCTGGGTCACCCTCACGCCCGCCCTTCATCCTACCCCGGCCAGCCTGAAGCACTTCCGTGTTGACAGACACCCCCCCCACACACACACACGCACACTCCCCAGGCCCTAACCTGAGGGCAGTACATGGCTGTCATTCTGCGGGACACACTCCCCAGGCCCTAACCTGAGGGCAGTACATGGCTGTCATTCTGCGGGACTCCACCTATCACAGCCGGGATCCGCTCGCTGTCTCCGCCCAAGAAGGTCCGGCTTCAACTTTTGAGCCACACTTTGCGACGTCATCGCGTCGCCGCCGCCGCTGTCTGCCCGGCCCCGCCTCTTCAGCTTAAATAGGGGGCTCAACATGGCGGCGCCTACTGGGTCGCTCGACCGCGGTGTTTCTGAGCCCGGGCAATGGAAGAGACTGTTTCGTCAAGAACTGTGCTGTTTCGAAAAGTAGAGCTGCGTTTTTAATCCCGGAAAGCATTTTAGCGCGAAGTACGGGTCGCCCATCACCTGAAAACTAGCTGACCTTTAATGACCCTCATGTGCCCTGCTCCGGAAGTGCTTGCGGCTTGCAGGTCTGTATCCCGGAAGCGGTTCTTTCTTTTCGCCCTCGCGCCCTTGGGGAGTGTGCGGTTGAACTTTAGAGCGGAGTCTAGGGACCAGGTTGGGGCGGCGTCCTGCAGGGTTTGGAGACCTACCTTTTTTGTTTTGTTTTTTTTCTTTCCTAGGCGGTTTTGGAAATAGCATGCTATGAATTTGGGCAACTTGCACGCTACAGTAGACTTGGCTCTGTGACCTTGGGCAGGTTTGGCAGTCTCTGCTCCTTGCAAAGCGTAGCTCATCTGCAAAATGGAAGGATACCATACTAGTTGTCACTAAATTGTAAAGCGCACGCCACCTTGAGGGCCTCGGGAGATAGTCTAGGCTCCCCCTAATGTCACCTCTGGCGGTGTGGTTGACTTGAGAAGCTGCTTTAGGCTGACATCCTCTTTCCAGAATTAAAGGAGGCTGACAATTCTTTTTCCAAACAGTATCTCCCTTGTTAACCCTAAGAACATAGGCTGGTTCAGACTTTGTGATTGAAAGTCCTCGAAGTCCCCTGATTGAAGCAAATTGCATCTGGGAGATGCTTCTGCCTTCAGCAAAACAAAGGAGAGATGGAGCTGTCCAAATTCCTATTGTTTTGGCTTTCCATTTCTCCGAGTGTCCCTAGCCCACCACATACTCTGTAAGGAAGAGTCCTTGCTATAGTTATTTAAAAATATTTGTTTTTAATTCATGTAAATAATCTGTCAAAGCAGCCTTTCTTTAATGTACTTTTTAAATTTCTGAGCATAGCATAATTACATATCTTTCTTTATTTTTTGATATCAGGGATTGAGCATATAATTCTTTATTTCCACCAGAATTTAGTGAAGGGAAGGGAAAGCAAGTATCAAAACTATAGAAAGACAAACTTTAGTCTTTTGGTTTTCTGTTGCCCTTTTAACTTTGTGGTTGAGTGTGGTAAGAAGAGCAACCTCCAGAAAGCTTACAAGAAAAGAAGAATTCCATACCTACTGAGTGAGAATCTCCCCTTTAACAGTAGCCCTTAGTGTTGTCATGCACATTAAAGCTTGGGAAGCACCGGTCTAACTCTTGCAATATGTTGTACTCTGAATGTTTATATGCCTCTAAGTTCTTCTGTTGAAATCTTAACATCCAGTGTGATAGTGTTGTGAGGAGAGGCCTTGGGAGGTAGCTGAGTCGTGAGGGTAAATCCTTCATGAATGGGATTGGTGTTTTTAGAAGATGGACTCCCAAAGAGCTCTTTTTCTGCTATGTAAGGATAGAGCTACAGTGACAAGGCAGCAGTCTGCAAACTGGAAGAGACCTCTGCTAGGTCTTCCTGCCTCCTAAACAAGAAATGTATTTCTGTTGTTTCTCAGACTCTCCGTCTGTGTTAGTCTAACCACCCGGAGGGCCTAAGGAAGTAGTGTGTTTTAATGAATGGCATCAAAAGTTTGGGGAGAGATGGAAGCCACGGAATTGAACTCTGGGATCATATTGGCCCAGCAAATAATTCGTGCATTTGGACACGGTCAGCAGTTTGGTTCAGCAAAATGAAAACTTGAGCACTGTACACCTTGGCAAATGTCATGGCTTTTGCATTCTCTGCTTCAAGCATTAACGAAGGTATCATCCTTCATCCCACCTCTGCCAAGTGTAAGTCACATTGGAGCATCCATTGCTGCATAATTTAATTCTTAAAATTTAAAATTTGCTTCCTCCTTTCTCTGTTCTATCCCAGATCATATTTCCATGTAACTAGTTTCAAAATTCTTCTCCTTCACGTAAGGAAGAATACCACATTCATTCATTTCTGTCATTGTCTTCTCAGGGCCTATGCTGGGAGCTTGGCACATAGCATTCAATCAATAAACTTTTGCTTTCGAAGTTGGAGTTAACTCCATTACCATTGTGATCTGAGTATATAGTAATGTAATTTCCCTTTAAAAACATTTCTCATGTAATTAACTCGCCTATTTTTGCTTTCTGATTTTCCTTAGTCATTTAGTTTTGAACTGCTTTATTTGCTTAGGTAATTATCATATAATTATTAAACATCTGTTGTGCTTGTACAGAGCATACATGGTTGACAAGAACTGAGCCCTTATCAGAGATGCAGAGTCCAGTGAACTGACAGACAGGTAATGATGAATCACAGGAGTGTTATCAGGTGCTGTTGGAAAGCCACACATAGGTGTTGTGGAAGTGCACACTGAGCTAGACAGTAGGGGACTTAAAATAGTACCCACCCCGTAAACAAAGTGGATCTTTTTCATGTCCTAGGTTCCCTTCCTAAAACAAGATTTTATCCTATGTAACACTTACCTCCTTATCTGTGGTTTCACGTTCCACGGCAGTTGTCCAGGGTCAACCAGGGAGTGCACATATTAAATGAAAACTTCTAATGAGCAGTTTGTACATTTTAGATTCCCCGCTTCACTGAATAGCATGAGAAAATCTCATGGCGTTCCACTTTCTCCCCCTCAGCAAGTAACAGGTGTATCATCTCTAGAGTATCCATTCTGTCTGCACTACCCATGTGCAGTGACTTAGTAGCCATCTCCGCTGTTAGACGGACTGGTGGTTTTGCAGTTCTTGTGTTCAGGTGTCTCCCATTTTACTTAATAATGGATGTCAGAAAATAAACCATGGGAGGACAGATAACTCTGATTCTATGTGGCCATACTCCAGGGCACCTAGGAAAAAGCAGTATAATGTTGTTCCTTTGCTTCACAAATTTAATTTGTTCCACAATTTTGGAAAACATGGCCATGTTTGTTTTTGTTAAGGAAAGGTGACCAGGGTCGTGTTTGTCACTCAGTGTAGTGTTTGCAAACAAAAACAAAATTCTGTTGAACGCTTTTGTTTGCAAACCAAATTATTGGCGAACGAGTGAGGTAGCACTGTGTCTACACGGTTCAGTACTTTGCATAGTGTTGGCCATCCACTGAAACTCTTGGAGAGTATTTCCTGTGGCAAAGGAGGATTACTGTATTCCTGCAGGGAGATAGAAAGCACCTGTGTCAGGGATGCTTGCCCACCTCTGCCCCTAGGACAGGACCTTATCACAAAGTCCTTGAGTCTAATCCCTGCTTCCAGTTGACTTTCCAAGTAGTGTAATTTCATTTTGTAGTCTTTACATCTTCATATACATGAATATCTCTGCTGAGCAGAGCATGCTGTCATTGCCTCTGTACTGCCTGTACTGCTGCTGCGTATTAACTCTTTGTCTGTGTCACTTCCTAACCTGGTGAAGTGGACAGGTGGGATGCAGCCCTTTCGTTTCGAAGGAAATTGGATACAGTGTTGGAGCACACGGCACTGGCCTTTCCATGGGGGTATTGAGGTGTCAACTTAGGTCCCACTACCCGCTGTGCCTAGGTTAAGCAAAATCCTGGTGTGGGGTCACCATGGAATTCAGAGAAAGGAACTTCAGCAATCGTGGTAGAATCCTACATATAAAGTCACAGAGAGAGGCTGAGTCCCCTGCCACCATGAGTCCCACAAGTGCAAGTGGTCACGAGTGAGTGTTTCCGTATGGAGGGAGCCAGCCTGAAGAAACAAAGACAACACGGCAGAAATCAGAGCGGGGATTGAGGGGGAGAGAAAGAATAGCAGGCCCAGGTGACGTGGCAGCTCTTGGGCCTGAGGAGACATATATAATATTACATATTGGTGGGGCCGGGGATTTAGCTCAGTGGTGCCACTGCCTGCCTGGCAAGTGCAAGGTCCCTAAAAACAAAACAAAGCAAAAATAATAGTATTATATATTGAGCTGAAGAGCTAACAGGGCCAAGATTTATGCTTTTGTTTTTTTTGTAATTTTTCTATTAGTATATTAGAATTTCTTAGAGTTCTTCCAGTGAATGTTTTAGATAAGATGGCACAGTTTTCAGAATTTTATAGGTAAAACAATGTATTTTATAGGCAGGAAGTTCAACTCCTTAGTAGCCAGGGATGTGGGGGAAAAGTACAAAATATATTACAAAACTGTAAATATTTTTTAAAATTCTGATCAGGGCCCTGCAATCGCAAGGACCCAAGTTTGATCCCCAGTACCAAAAAGAAAAACAAAATTCTGATCAGGGAAAATCTATTTTCCCTGCCCTACATACTTAGTTTGAAGATCCTATTTTGTTTACTGGACTGTTCCTAATCCACCGTTTGTGCAGACAGAAGAGTCCTTGCTGTCTTTTAAATAGTTCTGTCCAAGTGGAGAGGGTTATTGGGGAAATAATACCAAGGTCAAATATGTAATGTTAGGTGGGAAACAGTTGGGCAGCTTTAGTGCAGTCTGCTTCATCAAATGTGCTAGAATACTCTGTGTTAACTCAGTGCACAGGATCTAATCATGACTGTGTTCTGAGAAAAATCCTAAATAAAATATTCAGTTATTTAATCATCTCCTTTCCAAGAGACAAAATAAGGATTGTGGTGTATATTGTCTCTTGGTATCAGTGAGAGATTGATTCCAGATCACCTGTGGGTGTCAAAATCCGATAAAATGGTTCAGTCAATGTAGTTGCCTCTTCATATCTGTGTGTTCCCCTTGCAAGGATTCAACCAACCATAAATGGAAAGTATTTTTTAAAAAATTAGATTGTGGGCCTGGGATTTTAGCCTCGCAGGGGCAAGGTCCTGAGTTCGATCCCTGGTAAATCACACCACTACACCACCCCCCCGCAAAAAAAATTCTATTGTATTAAACATGTATGAACT